CTATTGCCGATGAGTGGATTCTGACTCATAGAGACCATACAGGACAGAGTAGAACTGCCCCATAGGGTTTCCACAGGGCAGCTGGTGGATTCGAACTGCCGAACTTTCGGTTAGCAGTCGAGCTCTTAATGACTGTGCCGCCAGCGCTCCTGTATTCTAATACAAATATGCATTTTCAAATTGGAATCTATATTACTAATGTCTTATCATGGATAATATCTAGTCAATATATAACCATACTCATTTAGATCTATCCACTAACTTTTTTCTTTAACTCTTCTTTTCTTTCTGTATATCAAAAGCTTCATACGTTGTAAGTGTTTCTTATGCTGAAGAAGATGCTTTGCTATTTCCTTGAATAAGAGTTAGTTGTAATTAGTTACCTCTTTTTAAAATAATTCTTGAAAATGACTTTGTCTTATGATTATATTAGAAAGACATTTTTCTCGGAACTGAACTCTAATTTAGCCATCTCCCATTGGACACTTGTTATTGTTAGTGACCTTTGAGCTGATGCCAACTGAAGGCGACCTCGTGTGCTCTAAGGGTTTTCAGTGCTACAACCTTTCAGAAGCAGATTGCCTGGCCTGTCTTCCTAGGCAACTCTGGGTGGTTTTGTCTAGTAGCTGAGGGCTTTCCTGCTTGTGATACTGAGGACTCCTCTTTGGACAGTAGGTTCTGCCATTATTGTAAGTGGTCACAGATAGATAAAGATATACACACATTTACATCATACAAAATAAATCCTAATTATTCCATAATTTTGGGTAATTTTTATCACAACATTATAGCTTCTGAGCACAGACTTCATAAGTGTAAATTTCAAAAGAATCAAAGGACAAGATAGATAACATTATTTAACAGAAGACACCAGAAGTGAATGTCTGAGGAATAGTAAACATAATGACTTCAACTTAAAAAGAGAAGAGTAGTGAGCTCTACATTGTTTGGTGTTGTTGGGGAATAGTTTCTTCTGTTTAATAATATGATGTGCATAATAGAAAGAGGGGAAAGAGAAGATTATTTAGGTTCTGAAAAAGACAAAGTATAATAAATGCAAATAAATTCATTTCTGATGCATATAAATACATGCATAGACACATGTATACATATGAGATTATTAATTTAGCCTATGAAAATATTGTTGTTGTTATTTGCCATCAAGTCAATCCTGACTCCTGGTGACCCAGTGTGTTCAGAGCAGAACTGGACATAATACGTAGAAAAGTAGAACGTAATGCCACAGTTTTGCAGTTTATTCTAAAAGCAGGACTTAGACATCTAAGGTAGTGTTAACATGGCAATAGTTTTAATAGTTTGTGGTTCAATGGACACAAGCTAACAGCATGGGTAATCCAACCTTCTAAATGCAAAATCCTATAAGATATGAGAAGGATTTATCAAAAACACTTCAAAAGAGAGAATCGATATGACATATTTAAAGATCTACTTTGTCCTTCCAATAGGAGCTCAACATCTCCTATGTTCTGGAGGTGTGTGATGAGATAAACTGACTTCAAAATAGCCCAAGTGGGGATTTCCTGTTCAAACATGAAATAACACATTGAAGAGCCTTCTACTTTTTCATCTCTTGACTCACTCTGAGCCCTCACAGGGCAGTCTATGAAGGGCACAGATATTCTTTGTGCTTTTGCAGGATTTATGTCTTTAGATTTTGCCTTCTACTATCCTGCTGTAGTTGGCCCCCCCCGGGGCATTAACAAGGCCTCCCCACTAATGGACGCATGACTTTCCGACTGAGAGAAGGTATGGGCCACTGCTCTCCTGTCTGTGTTCTAGCCCACCTCATTGAGTGGGAGGTTATAAATGCTGTGCATGATGCCCTGAGGGACTGTTAATGTACAATAGAATCACTGTGAACACTGCAGTCGGGCTGAACAGTGAGCCCCGAATATGAAATATGTCGGAGGATTTCTTAATTTATTCAAATTATTACGTATGGAGAATTAGTCAAGTGCACACACACACACATTTGAGTTTGTTAATCAACATACTTTAAAGTGAAATCCCTTAAGCACCATGACAATGAGCAGTTAATTTTGGATTTTATATTTAGTTCAACAAGTGTCTTTCTATCATAATGTAGTATACTATGTTTAGCCCAGTGTTTATTGCTAGATTCTTAAAAAAAATGATTGAATGGTGCAAGGTCAGACATAATTGTCATTCACTTACTAAGATTATGGACATGCGGTTTTACTTTTTTCCAAAAGGAGGATGAGGTAGCTTCCACAAAGTGCTAATCTAAAACTAATAATAAATTTCAAAAGACTTAAATTAATTTAGCAAAACACCAGGGAAAAAACACACTAATATAAGAGAACGCTGTCTAATGAGTTATTTTGCAATTCCTACCCAATGCCGATCAGAAGCAACAACAAAATACTGCAATGAAAATATTAATTAAAACTGTTATTATCTGTTCAGAGCTTGTAATTGCCAGGTTGAGCGTTATGTACTTACATGTGTTACATTTTATATATTATTATTCCCATTTAGATTAGAATATTAGATTACTAGTTATTAATCACATTTTTAATGGTCACGCATTGTAAATTTCAAAACCAGTATTCAATTCTTGACCTCTCTGACCCCAGAGTCCAATGAGAAAATCATTAAACTACATTACTGAATTACACCAGTTACTTACACAACTGAAAGAACCCACACAGACTGGGACAACCTTATGATCTTTCTGGAAGCTGGAATCGACAGTGTTCTTCCATAAATGGGATGCACTTTTATTTATCAATTTGTGGTCTCCTGTTTTAGCAATTAAATTGATTGCCAATAATTTTTATATAAGAAATACCCTCTTTAAATTGTTTATAATGATGTTTCCAACAGTCTTTAAGTTGTTAAGTTTATTGTGAAATGTAATTATTCTGATACATATTTTCTTAAATATGTAATGATTTCTCAGAACTCTCCACCTATTCATTAATAAGAAAGAGATCCTACAATAGCCCTTCATCTCCTAATAAATAAACATGTCACTAAATTAAGGTGTTTTACTGTAATAAATTTTGATATGTGCTGACCTGCCAATTCCCACTGCTTTGGAGCTCTCAGTTGTCAAATGTTATTGTATTACAATATTGTCATAAATCGATGCATCCTTTTTTTTTTTTATTTTACCAATACAGCATATTAATGCTTAACCCAGGTATTATAATAGTTTAAAATATTTCTGTGGAATATGACTTTTAAAAAGTAAGGATGTTCTTATTTATGAACTTCTTTATTCTTCAATAATTTATTGCTTTTTATTACTCCAACCAAAAATACTTTATCGAATGCAGAATGTCTTTAAAAATTACTTATTCCTCCCTGAGACATTTGTGTAAGGCTCTAAGTCAGTTAGAACCAGAACTTTAGATTCTCAGCTGCAAAGTGAGCACTGACACTTACCCTCCTCCCCACCTAGTTTGATCTTGTCATGTACACAGCACGTATTTCCTTCTCAAGCCCAGTTTCTCATAGAGCACAGACCTTGACACCCCTCAGCTGCAGAGATGAATAATCAGACAGTAACTTACTCAGAACTGAATCTGGCCAAGAAGCCAAAAAGGCAGCAAATCAAACCTAAGGACGCTGATAGCTGCTTTTCAGTCAGTGAGCGGGAAATAATTTATGTCGGATTAAACCTTCACAGTGCTTCTCAAGATCTTCAAAAGAATGACAAGACTTTCCACTGCAAAGGTAAATCATCTGATCAGTTCTCAATATAACTGCACTAGAATGTGCACTTCTAGTGCAGAAATGTGGGGAATGAGTGAAAATGAAGACACGGAGCAAGGGTAGTCAGATTAAGGGAGTAGGCTCACTGGTTTTCATTTTTGAGGAGCGGACCTGAAGTACAGATATCATGTTTCCTAGGAAATTAGAAGGTTAATTCTGTTCAGGCATTGTGGAAATTTGTGGGCTTTGAAAAACAACTCATGGGCTATTATTTTACTGACAATGCCATGGTATATTCTGAGAGAAAAATTACAATGTGGACTGTGGGTTCAATGTCCAGTATTTCTGTACATGATTCCCTGTGCATCTGGGTTCTCCTGTATGTAAACACTCTGAACACTGGCTCCATCCATCCTTTCTCAGTGTTTCCATTTCTCTCTCTGCACATCTCCCATCACCTCCAGGGAAGCTCATTGCTGGGACCCTGGGACTCATCTGCCTTGTCTTGACGGCCGGTATAATAACCATGACAGTAACAAGTAATAAACAAAACTGTAAGTCATAACTGTAAGTTTTTGAAAGATTATCAAGGAATATTCCCTGTAAAGGTTTGAAAGTGCCTCTGTATATTTCACATTTTATTGAATAGAATTCTCATTTTAATGTATGTATTTGTGTGATATGTTTGCCAGGATTTTTAGTCTTAGTAAATAAAGAATGCCTCCTCAATGTGCATTAAATGTGGAAAAGTTACTCAGAGTTTTTCAAAAGTATAAATACAGAGAATGATCGTAGAAGAGTATATGGTTATAATTCTATATGTCTGTATTGTATGTGTGTTTTGGTATATATGTGTGTGTCACATCTCAACGACTTGTAATGAAAGACTGAGCACTTATTGTGAATAAAATTTGATATTTGAATGTAATTAATTCAAATACTGTAAGAGGTGATAAAATTTCTCCATGAGACTGTTCATATGTTTTTGCAAAAACCTTCATTACGTACTATTTTTTGTTGGTTAAATAATTTTTAATATACATT